TGAAAATGTAACTGACAGGAACTCATGACCCATAGGTTACAGCCCAGGTTTTGCCCATGTTTGTTAGAGACAAAGGGAGCAAACATAAAAGCACAATGTCTTATGGATATAATCAAGAGACTGAAAGGGCTAAATCTGGCATCCTCCAAATGTGTCTGTTCAACTATCCCTTACATCAATGGATGGCATGGCTCTGCAGACACGCGTCAGGACTTCCTATCTCTGGGGCTACCTGGGGGCCTCTCTGGATACACATCCAGGGGCACTGTCACTTACCTTGATGGTAGCCAAGGCCACCTCCATTACAGCGCACTGTCGGGGTGTCAGACCCTTGGCGTCCTCTCGGATCATGTGCTCCTGGAAAACAGGTTAACAACAGCTTATAACATAATCAGTTCATTTACTCAACAACTACTTTCAAACAAAATCTGTATCATTCCCATAGGCAAACATTTCCTAGTTGAAATATCTTCTTCATATGGATGCATTTTAAATGATTATTTCCTCATATATTTAATAAGTACACCTTTGCCAAAGGAAGGAATGTTGAAGGCTGACTTAAAACGTGGCACTTACTAGGCTTCATTTTCCCTCGCAAGAGAATATCAGTTATGAAAAGAGGGGAGAAAAACTAGGAGATATGTATCAAAGCTTTTTCCCCGAATTCCTTGTTTTATGTCTGTTACACTGAGAAATGTAGATCATGGAAGGGATCTAAGGGGCAAATTTAGCCTCCCCTCATTTTTACTTATACAGTCTATTTTAAAACTAATACCCCAACTTTATATCTTTCTTGTGTCCCCTTAATGCTTACTCGTTACTGGGAAAAGCCCCAGAGAATTAACTGAATTTGGCTTTGGAGATTTTAATCATTTTTAATATTTTAGAGCCTGTTTTAAAATTGACTTCATTATTTTACAATGGATTTCCTCCATTGTTCACGGTGGTTTGTCTCAATCCATCATTCAGAGCTTGTTTAGGGAAATAATGGTAGAAAGTTAGAGAAAATAATAAAGCAAACAGAAATTTGTCTAAGGGAAAAATATAAAAATCTCTGACCAAAAGGGAGATACAATAGTGGTATATGGTCTTCCCACTATTCTATTCAACAACATTCAAAAAATGTTTATTGATTGCTTATTATGTGCTAATACTATTCTAAGGTAATTGAGATGCACAGTTCAATAAAGGAAGGCTTTTGTCCTTTTGAAGCCTAAATTCGACCTCGTAGGACTCAATATACTCAAATGGACTTACTATTTTTGAATTGTGTTAAAAATATGGCATAATGCTTCATGGATTCATGATATACACTTATGTATTTTATTGAATTTTTCTCAGATACAGGCATTTCAACCAAAACATATGAGTTCACTTAATATTTTTCAATAGCAATTAACATCAAACACGTATTGGGACTCAAAGAATGATAGAAAATACTGGCTCAATTATAGGGGGAAATGCCTTATGTCAAGTAGTTATAAATATTTTATGTTAAATAACTTCCTGTGGCTTCCTCAGTCTTCACTGGTTTTACAATGTGGTCATATTATTTTTTAACAGCAATGGATGAGATTCTATTTTTTTTTTTTTGCAGTTTTTGGCGGGGGCCAGGTTTGAACCCACCACCTCTGGTATATGGGGCCACAGGTACTGCGGGAGATTCTATTTTTAATCCTTCACATTATTTCAACATTGATGAAATAATATTTCTGGGCCATTTTATTCCTATTTTGATTTTAGGTTATAAGAATAAAGAATTCACCCAATCTGGGTGACCAAAAAATCTGGGGACCAAAAAGGGTGCCAGTGGGTTATGTTCTCTGTGACTTTGATCTTTCCCATCAGTATGATCAGACCCTCTATGGAGCTAGTCTCTAGACCACCCAGAGTTCATAAGATCTACAGCCCCAGGTCAGGGGTAGGTATGTGAGTTAAGCACATTGGCGCATGTCACTTCCCAGCTACAGTGATTGGCTTTGTAATGGTGCTATCACTCCTTCAAAACCAGTGCTGTGCCAGTAGACATTATTAGGGTTCCCTGCACTAAGACAAGGGTTCTTTTGTACAAGTTTAAAGCATGTTACATCAAAGGATGTAAGAGCAGAGACAACCATCTTACAAACAGGAAGCAATGTCTGTTATGTCAATCTATCAAACAAGGAGAGGGCAGAGTTGAGAGATAAGAGGATGTCTTATCCCATGGTTTGAATCCCTAATTAAGCAGCAACAGAAATCAGAGCTCCCCTGTACTATTAAACTTCACGTAGCAATCACTTCCCTCTTTGATGATGTTAGTTTGGCCTCCATCACTTGAAACTGAAGCAGTTCTAGATAATAGAACATTCAACTCAGGAAACTGAAGCCCAGAGAAATGCAGTGTGTTTTCTAATACCACAAGGATGCTAGATGTACGGCCAGGACCATTTCTTTTGTAGTGATTCCTATGGCATTTCACCCTCATAGTTTTATTGAAAAACTTTAGCAGTATATAAATCCTCTTTTCAAAGTAGAGCCCAGAAGCCCCGTGGAGGGAATATAAGTAATAAAGAAAAGGAAAGAGATTTAAGATGCAAAACAATAGTTTGGCAGTGACATCTACCTTCTGTCTTTCCTCTTAACCATCAACAGCACTGAATACCTGTGAGAAACAATTTCAGGTGGTGCTTATGTCTTCTAGATGGATTATTAGTTTCTCAGGAAGGGGATAATGTGGATGATAAAATAGGATACTGAAATTATAAGGCATGTATTTTGTCTCAGTAAATAACTATGTGCATTGATATCCTTCCTCTGTATCAGACACACAAAACAATATAATACCCAGCGATACCTAACTTGAGCTGCCAGCTGGTGGATAAATGCAGACAGCACCCTCTGTACGTTGGAGGTAGCATACCCTCTGCAGTTACTAACCGAAGGTGATGCATTTATTATCTCAACATTGTAGTACCCACAACAATCAAGTGTTAATTTTTTTTTAACATTTTACAAATGCCAAAACTAAAGATTAGAAAGGTTAAATACTTTGGTCCATGTCACACACCTGGAAGAGCTGATGAAGAATTTGTTTCAAGCCTGTCCCTTAACTCTATTCTTGAATGAAATAAAAACATGCAGTTTAACCAGTCAAGTTCTCATCCTAGATAAGGACAGAGATTGAAGTTTCTCGAATAACCCCAAAGTTTTAGGAATCTCAAGTGGTAACTAAGAGGTAGGGTTATGTAGTCAGAACATCCCCACTTATGATGGGATTGACCATGTTGACAAGCTCAGTGTCTATTTTGATGAGTTGCCTTTTCCCGTAGTGTGTTTCTTGACTTTAAAGATTTCTCTAGGTCTCTTTGGATTTCTATGCAGGAATCCATTTTGCCTTCATTTATACAGAGCCAGTGTAATATATGAAATAAATGTATTCTCTATTTACTTCAAAATAAATAATGTTGAATCCTATAATACAAAGTTATAAATTCATAAGCAGAGTGTGAAATCACACACATGTATCTCCTTAATCCCATCATGCTTGTACCATCACTAGCAGAAGGGCGGTTTCTTCTCAGCTCATTACTTTACCTGGACAACCAGTAATTTCTTATTCTTACCTTCAGTTTGGATAATTGTCCAATATCCTTAGCTGCAATGAAAATCATCTGGGGTCCCTAGAAACACACAAAGAAAAAGAGAGAGACAATTTGGTCTTAAGATCTGCCATATTAGTCACAATAGAAATGTAGTCAATAGAGAATAGCTAAGTTTGCTCATCTTTGTCCTCAGCACCGAGTACAGTGCCTCGTATGTAGTAGAGAGCTCACAGAATATTTGTTCCGTGAGTGAATGAATGAATGACACAGTTCATACTTGGAGATTATAATGCTAGAGAAATTTCAGGAGATGGTAAACTTTCCTAGGGAAAACCTTATATAGAAAAATGAAATGTTAAAAACACACACACACACAAAAAAGACAAGAAACAACAAAAATTAAAATAAATATAAAAAAAGAAAATGAACTACTGTATGAACTATTGTAACATTATATATATATATATATATTTATTTCTGAAAAGCCTCATACTTTGTAAGGTTATGACTTAAAATAATAAGGCTTAATGGAGAAAATAGCAGTGGGTCGTGCAAAGTCTATGCAATTTTGTTATTAAAGAACTATTAAAACTAATAGTTGCTACTTTGGGACACGGCTTGGAAAGCTGGAGGGGAACTCTGTGAGTTGAGGCTAGTGGCTTCCACAAGGGATATTTAAAATAAGCAAAAACCCAGCCAAACACATGCAAAACTATACAGTTCAATGGTGGACTGAGACAGTGCCCAGGCAAGTGGAGAGCCTAACGGAGGTGGACACTCTGTTAGACCTCACATAGGAGGTCTCTATGTGAGACCCTACTAGGTCTGACTTTCTGGAAAGGGAGTCCATGTGTGGGGTACTGCTACTTGCCTCCTTTTTTTTTTTTTTCCTCTTTTACAAACAGGCCTGTACAGTAGCCAAGGTGACTGGTCTTTCCTTGTCTGCTGAAGTTACAGTTCTATTATATGCCAGAGCCTCTGATGTAGGGAAATTTACATATAAACCAATCCAACTTCCAGATTATACTGACATCTTTCCTCTATCAACCAATTACAGGAGAAATAACTGGTGTTCCAGAAATGTATCATGCATTTCATTAGAAGAAGGTGTGTGTGTGTATTTATAGACGTGATTATTCCACCTGTTTTATGTAGACTATAAAGGATTAAACCACATATTCATGGCATTAAGCAAAACTCCAAGTAATTCGTGTTTTATCACTCACTGTCTGGCAGTAAATCAACAAAAACATATGCATCTCCACATCCTGGAGCATTTATAAGAAAATATTTTCTGTGCATAGAATTTTACTGGATAAACATGAACTGCAGATGCATAATTATGGTGTTAATATGTATTTTAGTTTAGTTTATAATTACTCATCATGTGTATCAATTTATCTTCCTCAGTCACAGGAAAAAATATTCATTAGTACATAACAGGGGTTTGGTATGGTTATCTTTTTTCTTTCTTGGTTCAGGATATGGGAACTGAAATACCCAGCATGATGCCTCCACTTGACCATTGTATAATTTTGCTGCCAATTGACATTTCTGGTTATTTTTTATTTCACTGTGTGTGACACCATCACATTCTTGAAATCCACTAAAGAGTGTGTCTTCTATTAACCTCTAAGTGGGGAGGCCACAGACAAAAGCAAAATGGAAAGATGAAAAAAATGCCATAAGCAGGGTTTGAACTATCTCTTAAAACTACAAAATTTAAGGCAAAATGCAGTAGATGTATTGGATTTTAAATCTATTTTCCTGTGATCACAGTAAAATTAAATAAAAAATTAAATCTTAATAACATTACAAATTTACCTTTGCTACATTCTTTAAGAGAGAAAGTTTTGAATGTCAAATAAGTTTGGAATTTGATTCTTATTGCCTCAATTTAAAATGGACTTGCATAGAAAAACTTAAATGATCATTATTTAAAAACTAGGGCTGGCTGTGGTGGCTCATCCCTAGTAATCCTAGAACTCTGGGAAACCGAGTCAGATGGATTGCTTGAGCTCAGAAATTTGAGACCAGTCTGAACAAGAGTGAGACCCTGTCTCTAAAAAAAAAAAAAAGACTTTACATCCTTTGCATTAACCTAGATAGAGTTGGAACACATTCTTCTTAGTAAAGTATCATAAGAATGGAGAAGCAAGAATCCAATGTTCGCAATTCTAATATAAAGCTAGTAGATGATTGAATACATACCCTCATAATAGAAAAACTCAAATCAATTCATGGTAGGGGGCAGGAGAACAAGGGAGCAGGGGGAGGGGAGGAGAGAGGAGGAGTGGGGTACTTCCACTTAAGGAGCACAATGTTAGGGTGTATGGTACACCTCTTGGGGGCAGGACACAATTACAAGAGGGACTTTATCTAGCAAATGCAAACTGTATAACCTAATTCTTTGTACCCTCAATTAACTTGAAACAATAATAAAAAAAAATAGCCAGGCATCATGGTGGGTGCTTGTAGTCTCAGATAATTGGGAGGCTGAGGCAAGCAGATTTATTGAGCCCAGGAGTTTGAGGTTGCTGTGAGCTATGATTCTGCTATGGCACTTTACTGAGGGTGACAAAGTGAGACTCTATCTCAAAAAAAACAAAAAACAAAAAACAACTATATACAAACACCGTTTTCTCAAAATAGATTTAATTAATATTTTATCTGAATCAAAACTATGCATTTGAACATAAATAGATGGGTTATTGAACATATAACAACTAAAGGTTTTTTTTTGAGACAGAGCCTCAAGCTTTCCCCCTGGGTAGGGTGCTGTGGCATCACAGCTCACAGCAACCTCCAACTCCTGGGCTCAAGCAAGTCTCCTGCCTCAGCCTCCCAATTTGCTGGGATCACAGGCACCCACCATAACACCTGGCTATTTTTTGGTTGCAGCCATCATTGTTGTTTTTGGCGGGCCTGGGCTGGATTTGAACCCGCCGCCTTATTTGTATGTGGCTGGCACCTTAGCCACTTGAGCCACAGGCACCAAGCCAACAACTAAAGTTTAAATACGTACTGTTTGGTCAGTCAGAGGAGGAAGAACAATTTGCTTTTCTATTTTGTTAAGAACCAGCTTCCACAGCTCTTTCAAAATGCGCTTCAGGACAGTCTTCTCACAGATTTTTGCCGAGAGACTTAATCTGAAATAAAATAAAGTACATGCTCAGTTTTAAATTTCATATCAAGGTACAATTTTTAAATGCTAAATTCCATTCACTGAACTATTATTTTAATATCAAAGATCTATCTCATTATACATCAAATAATTACCTAGTAGAAAGTGAAATCAGAATATTTCTTTCCTTAAGTTGTTTTCTAATTTGATAGGCTCCAAAAAGAAAAGTAAATTTTAAATCCCATAAAGTAAAATATATTTAAAGGCAAAGGATTCCTCTTCATTCATATTTAATACTCATTAAACTAAGAGCTATTTCTGAGGTCAGTCACCAGGATTGGGCCTGGGGATTGAGAGGAAGATGGCAGAACCATTGTTTTTCACCTGTTTGATAGGAGCAGAGTGCAGACCATTCACCATAATGGAGTCAAGCCTTTCAAAGTGCACAATTTTCACACTCACTCTGATGTGTGTTTAGTATATGACCATGTTCATGGCCAAGGCCAACATAATACCATGACAAAGACACATATAATTTCATATAAGAACCAAAATTTACTAAACTAATAGACATAAGATATTCCTTACCAATTCTCATGGTAAGACAACGATGTATATTACCTAGCATTTTTTTTTTAACACTTTATACAACTTCTTCTTTAGAAACCTCTTCTGCATGTCTTTCTCATGTATTACTATGCCTTAGAAATCAAGAACAGGCTCAGAGGGGTTCTGGTACCAAGACAGGGAAGCTAGTAAGTGAGACTCAAAGTTAGGTTATCTTTTAAATTCAACATTCAAGATCCCACACTGCCTATGGTAAATGTGCTTGTGCCTGAAGGTCCAGGATGTACAAAGGCCCAGTGATATGTCAATATCTGTTAAATAAACAGTAACACTGGACTCTTTGACGCTCCTTTAATTAGAGAGAATTAAACCCGTTTCACAGAGGGTCCAAAGCAGGTCACATATTTCAGAGCAGTGTCATCGATTCCCTGTAGTGCTATTATGTATTCTGTAAGCTTTTAGGCTTAAAAATTATAACCTGGGCTGTGGTCCTGACAGACAGAACAGACCGTTTTTAATATTTAAACACATATATAATTAATATTTGAATAATTAAAATTAATTAACATTTAAAGGAGTGTGACATGCGAGAGGCGAACAAAGACATTTCCCAAATACATTTTTTCATGTGAAAGTATTTCTCCTAATACTGTTGTATAGAGACACCCAATATATAAAAATAGATTTTAAAAAACCCTCCTCCGAATAAAAAGGTGGTTTGGGGATCCCTGAGGCATATCTGTGAACTGTAGCCCCCCTCAATTTGGAAATTGTTGTTCAAGGGTCACATTTCTAGCGTGCTGCTGACCACTGATGACTGGACACGGGGTGGAAACGGGCAGATGTGTCACAGCTGACAAGAAATGGCTATTCTCAGAGAAAGTCCTAGGATGATCGGAGATACACCCAACCTGTCAATTTTGCTACAGATGTGTAACTTCCACTTTCAAAGGATCGGCCTCTAAGAATTGATCTCTTTTTTATGGTCAGTCGCTTCCTTGGCACGCTGACCGTCCCTGCTTGGACTGGACTGAAAGAAGAGCAATCAAATCATTGCCAGGTTTGCAGCTATCCCTGGGATTTCTGACAGTCAGGAATGGAGTTTACAGCTCCTTTTATGAAGTGGGGTGGTCTTGGTAGAGAAAGTGAAACATAAAGAAATAAGATGTTTTATTTAGAGCAGGTGCACAAAGATAAAGAGCTTTCTACAGCAGGGATTTTCTCAAAACCACCCTGAAGACTGTGAGCCCTCTATTGTGGGTTTTCAGTAATGGAAAACAAAGGGAAAAATCTAGCAACTGTCTTTTTAATTTAGTCAGAGTTAATTAACTTGATAATGCAAGCCGAAAAGCACGGATTTTGGAACCTGGGCTATCTGGATCGGCTGAACACAGAACCAATTAACTAGACAATTTCCGAACGTAATATGGAATGGCTAGCAACAGAAATTTCCTGTTAAATAGTTGACAATATCTTCAGGAAAACGTAAACTAGCTGCTTTCCCTCTGCCTGGAATGCTTGTCCTTCATTTCCATACATTCAAACTCTATCCACCTTTATATACCCAACCCACGTGAAACTCTACTTACTCTCTGGAGCAGAAATAACATTTCTACTCATTATCACTGTACACCTTACTACGTTTATCTGTGCACCTTTCTTCTGTCTTCTGCTAACACTATTAGCTATTTGGAAACAAAATCAATACGTGACCCTTAAATCTCTCCTCTAACGAGTAGCTTGACAGAGGCACCTTCTGAATAAGCCCTGAGAATTTCTGCGACTCTCCAGGTCTCATATTATACCTACTTCAAAAAGTGTTAAATCTCTTTTACAAATTTTTAAAGCTCATAGATTCTTTTCTATCTATATACTCCATCTTTTTCTACTATTATAAGGAGTATCATCTGTGATGACAATGGAGAATAATCAGAAATAGAAAATTGAGACTTAGTAACAGTAAACCTTAAGTAAAAGACTGAGTCAGATTCTGAATGTCCTAGAAATAAGGGTCTGCCTGTTATCTTTATTAGACACATTTTACAGACAATGAAATAGATTCAAAGTTACTCTGCTAGGAGTTGGCAGCATCAAGATTACTTTAAAACCTTCTGTATATTGCACAACTTTGGTCATAGCATATACAAAACAAATAGTTTGATGAATGATAAATGATACGTCTCAAACTACTGGTTGGAGTGCTTAGTCCGCTGCTTATCACCATCACATTCATAACCAGTCCTGGATGATTATAGTGATTCGATTCTGTATCATCCATAGAAAAAAGCTCTATAAAAAGGTAAAACTTTCAAAGGAATGCATAGGAAAGTATCCAGTGAAAGTCCACATCAAGAAACTGTCTGTCTCTTTCCCCCTTTCTTCCTGTCTTTCTCTTTCTTTTCTCACTCACTTTTTTCTCTCCTTTCTCACTTTCTTCTCCTTTCTTCTGCTTTTCTCATCCCTTCCCTTGCTGACCTACCTTCTTGCTATCTAGAGACCCGTTCACCTATTTTCTACATAGTTCCCTACAGAGAAAAGACCAGGAGACTCAATTTTTCTACCAAAAGGTGAGATTAAATTGATAAGAATGTCAGTCTTACTTACACGGTAAGATTATAGCCAAAGGGAGGGGGAATTAAAATAGAAGTCATAAAAATACAGAAGAGGTGCTCTCTACTAATTCTTTCTTTGTTGTCTTTATCTTCAGAGAAGGGAACCGTATCCCTCCTTTATATCTTGCTGTCTTTTGTGTTAATTTGTCACAAAAATAATAAATGAGATAACACACATAAACTATCGTGTATGACCCTGGTCCTTGGTAGGTATTCACAATGATTATTTAGTTTTCTCTTCTACTTTCAGTTCTGGTTTTGAGTATCAATGTTTAGGAAATCATGTGTCTAGTTGCATTAGATCAATGGTTCCCTATTTTAAAATATAGGAACCTGACTCTCCTAAACAAAGTTAGAATTTCTAAGATGTTAAAAAAACAAACAAAACTAGCACTCTGAGAGGCTGAAGTGGGTGGATATTGTCTTGCGGATGGTCTTACAGGTTTGAGACCAGCCTGAGCCAGAGCAAAACCCATCTAGAAAAATAGCCAGGCATTGTGTCCCAATAGCCTGTAGTCTCAGCTACTTGGAAGGCTGAGGCAAGAGAATCACTTGAGCCCAAGAGGTTGAGGTTGCTGTGAGCTGTGATGTCATGGCATTCCACCAATGGTGACAAAGTGAGACTTCGTTCAAAAAACAAACAAACAAACAAAAAAATTAACCCACCAAGCTTCCTGGTTAGGAACACTATCTTAGTCACAGAGACCTCCATTTCTGCCCACTCCCACCACTACTGTCCTCTCCATGCCATCAGAGACTTAGGCTTTCTTTGTCATCACTACCTAGTGACCAGAATAAGTTTGATATGGATGGGCACTCAAATAATAGCTATGGAAGGCTGAGTCAGGCAGCTACCCGCTTCCCTGGGAGCTGAATTAATTCTAGTCACATTTGTGTCATTCTCTTCTTCAGCAGGTGTCTGACATGAAATCAGATACTCTGGACTCAGCTTAGTCCTTTTCTTTATCCACAAGGATGCAAAACAATATGCTAGCTGAGGATCGTGATCCGAAATCTCTCTCTGCCTCATACCAGCAGTCTCCTTAGTGATCCATAGTATATCCGTTCATTTTTTTCCTTTCCTAGACAACATCATTCCTGATTTTTTACCATCTACTAGTGAATGAAAGGTGTGGTTGTTTTTTAATGAATTTGCTTATTTCCACAGCACTCTTTCCCAAGCTAACTTATGCAGAGAAAGACATTTACTTTTTTCCCCTTAAAGCTTTCTCAGTTGAATTTAGGACAAGTAAAGAGGAAACTTTGCAAACAACTTACGTTTTGTCCAAAAAATCCATGAGCGGTCTCAACACGATTTCTGCATCCATTGCTGCACTGTTCTTATTAGAGGTGGCATTTCCATTTGCTCTCATTTGATTCAGTTCAAAACTCATCTGTTTTATACACTCTTCAATTATCAGCTGGAAACTAAAAAGAAAGAATAGAAATTCAGGAATAAAGGTAAACATTTTGCCTAAGTCCCCTTTAATTCTACCTTGAGGCATTTGATCTGTTTTAAACTGGATGAATTCCCTTGTTTTCAAACTCATTGTTCTGCTGCAAATGATTTTGCTACAAAATGAAAGCTGGGAGCCCCTGTATGTTAAAGCAGTTAAAGGTATTGTTCTTCAAGTTAAATCAGTATGAACTGGGGTTCACTCAGCCCCTATCTCTGACAGTAACAGCGGAGATGCTCCTCTGAGCGCTGTTTGGGAAAATGGCTGCTCTGGAAAGGCACCTGACATCAGGATACACCTTCTTCATTCGCTTCTATGACTTCCACCTTCTTGGCTTTTTTCCCAACAATACTGGCTGTTCCTTCCCAATTACCTGACCTCTAAACATTGGAGTAGACTTGCCAGATTTATCAAATAACAACACAGGATACCTAGTTACATTGCAATTTCACAGAGTGAATAGTTTTAAATACACATATGTCCATGTAATATTTGGGACAAATTATACTAAACATTATTCATTGTTTATAGGAAATTCTGTACACTGGGCATTCTGTATTTTATCTGGCCATCCTACATTGTGATGCTTTGGGCTTGACCCTTGGACCACTTCAGGTGTCTACTAGCAGTCACTTGCTTGGCAATCATATCTAGTCCCCTGGATTCCATACTGTCTATTAATGGTTCCCAAATTTATATCTACAGATCTGATTTCTACCCCAAATGCCAGATTGTTTTATTGAACTGCCTATGTAGCCTTTCCTCTTCCAAGTCTGATGAGTTTCTCCTACCTGACATCTCTTATCCAAAAATGATATAGTTTCCAACAATAGGAATAATTATAACACACAGGCAGACAAGAGAAAAACACTTAGATGAACTGAGAAAAATGAAAGATTAAAAAATGGTCAAATCACAGGATGATAATGAGCAGATAAAGAAAGTTCATTTTCACACTGCAGTCAAGTCCATTCTTCTCCTTCCTCTGCATACAATGATTATACCGTTAATTTTATTGAAGAAGTTATCCAAATGCGTGGATTCATCAACTTTTATACAGAAGTTAAGGAATCATCACTACATAAGGCTTCACTATGAATTAATAGAATACATGTATTTGTTTATTCATTCATGCATGCCTACATTCTATAAATAATTAATAAATAACTACTGTGCACCAATTATCACTGTAGTTGCCGAGTACATCAATGAACAAATCGGGTACCTCTTCTTATTCTTAATAGCATGTATGACACCTTTTATTTTAGCATTTACACTATGGAAATATTTTGGGTATCCTGTTAAGTACTTTATTCTTCTACTTTTTTGTTTTATCACCTAAACTGGGAAATCCTCAATATATTTTAGATTTTCACAACTTGGTCACTTTTATTGTTCCTGGGCCTTTTAATTGCAAATTTATTAATCTATTGGTGTATAATTTTGAGTGTTTATTTAAGGTGTGAATCTACTTCTGCCACCACGTTTGACCTGTCTCCATATTTAGCTCCTGATTTCTCTTTGGCTTCCTTTACTGTTGACAACACCGTTCTTGCCCTCCTGGATATGACTTGTATTTGGTTCCATGATCTTTGGATTTCCTCTGGCCCCTGTGGATGTGGCTCATTTTATGGCTCTCTGAATATTTATCTGCTTCAATGGAACATTCTCTTCCAAGCTCTCATACGGGAGAATCTAAATCTATACTATTAGGCTTTCAATTGGCTGGAGCTGCCCTTGGACTTCTGTGAGGTAGTGGTTGCAAGGGAGGGCTGCAGCAGGGATGAAGGGCAAAGTGGGGAAGGGGGTAGAGTTTGTGTTGGAGTTAAAGGTAGTGGATACTTGGGGTAATAAGGAAGTAAGGCAAATAACATTGGAAAAATACCCCAAAGTTGCCCCTAAAGTCATCATACAATGGGAAGTTGTAGCTAAATGTACCTTTTTAAAATTTTTTATTAGAGCATAACTGTATACATTTATGGGGTACAATTTGATGATTTGATATACAATGTAGAATGCTTACATCAGACTGATTCACATAACCCTCACCTCACTTATTTTTTGTGGTGAGAGATTTATAATTTGCTCTTAGTTATTTTGAAGTGTACCCTTGTATTGTGCACATTAGGTGAGATCCCACCAAATTAAATGTGCCTTTTAAAAATGAAATATTTATGACAAAATTTTACAAAGGTGGCTAACACGCAGAGAATATTTTGTAAATATTTTATAAAATTTTGCAAGTAAAGGTACATTTAGCTATAATTTCTTATTTTTCCTATGTCTGGTGACTTTCAGGGTGACTTTTGGAAAACTGTCGTTGATTTACCATTGGGTCATCCAGTGCTCCTGGGGCCTATAATAATCACCTTTAAAACAGCTGCTTATTTTTTCAATATATTGGGGCAGGGACATACATGAAAAAACCAGAAGGTATAACCTTTATATTTCAGTTGTGTGAACAGTAATTTTCCTAACAGACTCACATTGTAAACTCCAACCAGAACCCAGCTCTAGGCATGGGATAGGATGAGTGAAAGAAGGGTTCTCAGTGCTTGGCGGCAAATGACATTCTCCTTTTGCATTAATCTGGAGCAACCTAATGCCTGCACCTCACCTAAAAAGTCTTTGTCTCTTTCAATTTTTGGTAAATTCACCTCAAAGTCTTTTTCTGTTTTTTTTTTTTTTTTTTTTTTTTTTT